GGTTAAGTTCCTAGAACGGGTTTATACGGAGAATAGGGTGATTATGAAATGGGAAGCCGAAACTACAAAACCAGCAGCAATAAAAAGAGGACTTAGACAGGGTTGCCCATTGTCTCCCCTGCTCTTTATGATATACCTCAGTGGGATGGAAAAAAGGTTAGAACAGTGAAACCTAGGTTTTGACCTGAATTACATGGAGGAAGGACATAAGGTAAATCAACTATTGCCTGGGTTAATGTATGCAGATGACATTGTACTCGTATCAGAAAGCCGTGAGACAATACAGGAACTGATTAGGATTTGCAGCAGGGAAGGGGACAGTTTAGGACTAAAATTCAGTAGGGACAAGTCGGGTATAATAGTCTTCAACGATGAGAAGGGGGAACCCCTGGAGATACAGGACACAGTGATAGAACACGTAGAAAAGTACAAATATCTAAAGGTCTGGTCAATGAGGGAAGGAAATATCTAGAGGAACACGAGGAGAATACAATTAGAAAAGGGAAAAGAAATTCATCTATTATGAAGCTCAAGGCACTATGGAACTATAACAGATATGAAGTGGTCAGAGGTATATGGAAGGGAATGATGGTGCCAGGACTGTCTTTTGGCAATGCAGTGCTGTGCATGAAATCTGAGGTTCAATCAGGGCTAGAAATTCGACAAAGAAGTGTAGGCAGATTGGCGCTGGGAGCACATGGAAAAACACCAAATGAGGGAGTACAGGGGGACATGGGATGGTCGTCTTTTGAGAGCAGGGAGGCAATTAGTAAGTTGAAATTTGAACAAAGGTTGACTGAAATGGAGGATACGCGGTGGGCACGTAAGGTATTCAAGTATTTATACATGAAAAGTTTAAACACAAAATGGACGAACCGAACCCGAAAGCTTACATTTAAATATCTACACACTGGTGATGGGGCTGAACAGACTATGTCAGTGAAAAGAAGGTGAAAGAGGCGGAGAGGAAAATGTTTGAGGGGAGAATGCAGGAGAAATCAGCTTTAGCAGTGTACAGGTCACGAAAGCAGGAGATAAGAAAGGAAAAGCTATTTGACAATTCACTGGGAAGTGCTTTGCTGTTCGAGGCAAGAACGGGAGTTTTGAGGACGAGGACGTATAGGGCTAAATTTCAGGAGACCGACACATTATGTGCCGCCTGCCATAATGATGGCGAGACACTGGAGCACTTGGTTTTGAAGTGCACGGGGCTTCGTCCTGCCCTCCCTGAAGGGGTAACGGATTTGGCTGGGGCCCTGGGTTTCACTGGCGACGATGGAAGGATGGTAGAGAAAAAGATTACAGTGACAAAGAGACGATTATAAGATTGGTGGAAATTATCTTGGGAAAATTAAATGATGGACAACTAACTAGCACAGCTGGGAACAGTTGGGACAGAGGAAAATTGGGACTCCCTCCCGCGTGGCTCCGGCCCAAAGTCTCAACCCTGTCTCCCAGTGGGTCCGGTGCGGGGGTGACGCCGAAAATGTTTGACCAGAGGAAAATTGGCGACTCCCTCGCCGGGGGGAAGAGGCAGAGGGGTGATGTTTTTTAGTTTTTTTGCCCGATCCCCTGAAGGTCATCCTGGTGATATCCCACACTGCCTGGTGATAGTTAGGGGGAGAAAAATTGGTCTTAAAAGGGCGGGAGGAATCACGTTTTTGTCTTTTTAGACTTAGGCTAGGTGGCGCAAGCTTCCGCCCGTTACAAAGGGAATAGCCATTAACATCCATCCATCCATTCTTCATTGAGTCGGATGGGAACCGTAGCATCTGCGGACAGTTTTTCCGGAATCTCAGCAACCTTTATACTTCAAAGTTGCCATCATCAGAGCTAGGAATTTTTAGAGCTACAGGGCTCTCCAAGTAGTATTCAGTGTGGAGTGTGCAGGACATCAGGTGGAAGTGCGTCTGCTTGCAATATAACCAGGGCTATGCAGTTTTTCTTCTACTTCACTTGCAAGTGGGATCAATGTTTGCAACCGTTGCACATTGGTTGTGCTTAATTCGAAAACTGTATTTTTCGTGGCTTATGAGTGTCCTTTGAGGTAATACAGGCTTGATTTGTTGATTTCAGGAATTGTACTCTGTTGTCCATTTATTTGTTGCTCTATTTGTTGATTTCAGGAAATGTACTCTGTGGTCCATTTTTTGGCGGAAAATGATGTTGCAGTTGTTCCTACCTGTTGGGCGTGCAATGGCCGCACGGCATGGCCACCCTACAGATCAAATCGGTTGATGATGGCAATTGAGAGCGTGAAGAGCCCTTTACTGGCTGGGCCACATTCTCCTGTCAGGTGATGGCATCATGTTGTAAGTATAGCGGGTGTCCAGCAACCGGGAATAGTCAAGAATATTTTAATTACCAGGAAAAATCAGGGATATTGTCAAAAAGCGAGCCCAGTCAAGGAAAACGAGCCACAAATGCCATTGAGTGCCCTGAGCAAGGAGTTGAGAACCTTGGGGCAGAGAAATAGGCTCTAAGCAGAGCCGCGCTCTGCTTAGAGCAGGGCGCGGGCTCTGCTCACCTAATGTAGAGTGTGCTAGAGCACTGCACGAGCCAGAATTTCTAGGCCCGACCCGGCCCGGTAGGGGCATGGCCCGGGCCCGGCCCGAGCCCGATAGAATATTTAATTTCCAGGCCCGGCCAGACTTGGCCTTGAAGAGACACGGCTCGGGCCCGGCCCGGACCCGGCTGAATTTTAGACAGAAACTTGAGCCCGGCCCAAGCCCGACAAAATATTTGTTTCGTTTAATATAAGCCTGAGCTTGGCCCGATCCTGACAGATTATATACATGAGCCCGAAAAAGTTGGCAGGCTTTAACCTAAAAACTGTCTAAGCATAATGCGAGCATATTTGATTTAATGAACAAAAGGTTAGGGCGCAAACGAGCTTGTGGTGGTTAAACATTTGACTGGTGTGCTCGGCTTTCTTGTTTCAGTGACATATGAAGATGCAAAGTTCAAAGAAAAAAAATCCGGAAGCGACGTCCGACCTATCAACGAATAATGAAGAGCGGGAGAAAAGAAAAAGGAAGAGACTGCTCCTTTTCCGTCAAGCTTGCCTCTTCTGCAGGAACGACCTACCACTCAGCCAGCCCCTCAACTTCCAGAACGTGCACCAGTGCCCAAGCAAAAACGCACACGTGTATGTTTGCTTTTTGTTGCTACAATTTCTTAACGCTTTCTAGCTTTTAGATTTTTTATTTTATGTGATTAGCCTCAGCTTGGTTAGCCGCAATTGTGATAGTGAATGGTATCCATGTTGTTTATTGAGCACCTGCTGTTTTGGTGTTTCTTTTACAGCGCAGCTCTTAGGCGCCCGTTTTCGGCTTGAGCGGTGTCGCCGTCGCCGTAACCGCGGCGACGTTCCGGCACCGTGCTGAAACGTCCCCGCGGGGTCACGTGACCTCCCGAGGTCACATTACCCCCCTTCAGGAGGGTCACGTGACCTCACAGTTACGCCGACGGCGACGCCGCTCGGAGGGAGGGGGGAGTGGTACACCCTTTCCTCCTCCTCCTCTAGAGCTGCGCTCTAATTTGTCATTACAGGGAGTTGTAAACGGCTTCCATTTTTTTATCTAGTCATTTTTAATTTACAAAGCTGCTAGTTGTGGTATGCATTCTCGCATAAGGACGGTTATACCCGTCCTTGAAGCAGTAATTTGTCTCCGTGGCCCATGATACGGGGAAATGAAAAGACGTGTCTCCACTCTTTGTTAATTTATTATAACCGACAGAACCGTGGACCTGCCGGATATTCGACATACAGTATATATACTGCATGTCGAAGATCCGACGGGTCCATGGTTCTGTCGGTTACAAAAAATTGCCGAAAAGGGCCGAGACGTCTTTTTTAGAGCGCAGCTCTTAGGGGCCCGTTTCCAGCCTGAGCGGCGTCGCCGTTGGCGTCGGCGTCGGCGTCGGCGTAACCGCGCCCCTCCCCCTCCTCCTCCCCTCCTCCTCCTCTTCCTCCCCCTCCTTCTCCTCCTCCCCTCATTGTGTAGTATGGTCCGGGTGGGTCACGTGACCTCGGCGGGAGGGGGTCACATGACCCGTTTCCAGCCTCTGCGGCGTCGGCGTCGCTCCTCGTCCTCCTCCCCCTCCGCTCCTCCTCCTCCCCCCTCCCCCCCGCCAAGGTCACGTGACCCCGGGGGGTGACTCCCCTCCCCCCGCCGAAGTCACGCGACGGCCCGCCCAAGGTCATGTGATCCCGTCCCCTCGAGGTCACGTGACCTCCCGGACCTCCGCCCTCCTCCTCCTCCCCCTCTTCCTCCTCCCCTCATTGTCTAGTATGGTTCGGGAGGGGGTCCACTTGACCTCGGGGGGAGGGGGTCACCTGACTTCAGCGGGGGGTCACGTGGCCTCGGGAGGGTCACGTGACTACCCCCTCCCCTCCCCCCCCCCACCCCCGAGATCACGTGGCCCCCGCGAGGGGAAGAGGAGAACGCAGGGGACCAGGGAGGATGAGCAGGGCGGACAAATCCGAATTTTCATTTCTCCGAAAAATTAGTTTAAAAGACTCTTATCTCTTATCCTTCGGCCGGCTTCGGCTTTCCTGCTGCACGGTTGAAAAACCCTGCAGCAGAAAAATAATAGAACAAAGAGAAGCTAAAAGCTGCTAAAGTGCGTTCATTTCTTAAAAGTAGCGCACGGTGCGTCGATGCACAAGGCACGTGCAACGTGCAGACTTTGCAAAGATCATGGCGGCACAGTGCACATTCAAACTAGATTTCAGATGCCATGTTACACTGGCCATGTTCTTCCCAGAATTGGTGCACGGCACGTGTCTCGAGCATTTCCACAACAATCAATGCAGCCACTTTTGTCAGGATGGAGGGGCTTTAGCAGCTGCTGCTAAACGTGCTGCACGAGCAGAGGGTCAGCACCGCCGGCGCCGTGATCCAGCATGAGTGATATCACAAAGACGACGACGACGAGACGTAATCAGGCAGTTCTTTTTTCACAAAATGAGCGAGTCAGATGAAGCAGCTGCTGCTAAACGCACTGCCCGAGCAGAGGCTCAGCGCCGCCGGCGCCAAGATCCTGCAGTGCGTGCCGCCGAAGCTGAAGCTAAACGGCGCCGTCGACAAGACCCGGAAGTGCGCGACGCCGAGGCAGAGGCTCATCGCCGCCGCCGAGAGCAGCCAGAAGTGAGCGCTGCTGAAGCTCAATCTAAGCGCCGCCGTCGAGAGGACCCTGAAGTGCGCGACGCCGAAGCAGAAGCTCATCGCCGCCGTCGAGAGCAGCCAGAAGTAAGCGCTGCAGAAGCTGAATCTAAGCGCCACCGTCGAGACCACCCGGAGGTGCGCGACGCCGAGGCAGAGGCTCATCGCCGCCGCCGAGAGCAGCCAGAAGTGAGCGCTGCTGAAGCTCAATCTAAGCGCCGCCGTCGAGAGGACCCTGAAGTGCGCGACGCCGAAGCAGAAGCTCATCGCCGCCGTCGAGAGCAGCCAGAAGTAAGCGCTGCTGAAGCTGAATCTAAGCGCCACCGTCGAGACCACCCGGAGGTCCGCGACGCCGAGGCAGAGGCTCATCGCCGCCGCCGAGAGCAGCCAGAAGTGAGCACTGCTGAAGCTCAATCTAAGCGCCGCCGTCGAGAGGACCCTGAAGTGCGCGACGCCGAAGCAGAAGCTCATCGCCGCCGTCGAGAGCAGCCAGGAGTGAGCGCCGCCGAAGCGGAAGCCAGAAGCCGCTATCGAGAGGACCCGGAAGTGCGCGACGCCGAAGCAGAAGCTCATCGCCGTCGCCGAGAGCACCCAGAAGTAAGCGCTGCTGAAGCTGAATCTAAGCGCCGCCGTCGAGAGGACCCGGAAGTGCGCGACGCCGAGGCTGAGGCTCATCGCCGCCGCCGAGAGCAGCCAGAAGTGAGCGCTGCTGAAGCTCAATCTAAGCGCCGCCGTCGAGAGGACCCGGAAGTGCGCGACGCCGAGGCTGAGGCTCATCGCCGCCGCCGAGAGCAGCCAGGAGTGAGCGCCGCCGAAGCGGAAGCCAGAAGCCGCTATCGAGAGGACCCGGAAGTGCGCGACGCCGAGGCAGAGGCTCATCGCCGCCGCCGAGAGCAGCCAGGAGTGAGCGCCGCCGAAGCGGAAGCCAAGCAAAAGGCAAGGATCGCTAAGCCTGACGGTGCAACAAAAATTTTCCAACGGCTGTTTAGAGACAACCCGTTTGGGAGCGTATGTTCAGTCTGTGACCGGCTCTGGTTCCAAAACGACTTGCAACCGCTACCGGACAGATGTCACGAGACCCTAGAGCAATCATTTCCAAACTCGGACCTAACCCAATTCAAACTGTGCTCGACCTGCATACAATCAGTGCACAAGGGTCATATTCCTCATCTTTCCTCAAGTAACGGTTATGTATATCCCCCGAAGCCAGCCCACCTCCCACAATTGAACGCGGTGAGTGAGAGACTCATATCTCCACAAATTCCTTTCATGCAACTGCGACGGCTGATGCACGGTGCAGGTCAACACGGCATTAAGGGACCAGTAGTGAACGTCTGTGTTGATGTGGACGACATGGTGACAATGTTGCCTCGTGCCATCGAACAAGACCGAGCCCTCAATGTACATTTGAAGCGGCGCATGCTTGCGAAGACGACCTACCTGGCAGGGGCAGTAAAAAAATGTGATCTGCTGCCGTGGCTTAAGCTGCTGTGTGATAGCACGCTGTACAAGCATTATAATATAAAGTGCGATTTTGCCCGTTTGGGGGATATCGTAGAAGTGGACGAACACGACGAGATCGAGTTGCTCCCGCAATGCTCAGACCTCAACGATCCGATCCAAGTGGCTACAGCCATGACTCTGGCTCAGCACACTCTCATATGGGACGAAGACAAGTTTCTAGCGATTGCGCCAGGTGAGGGAAAAAGGCCCGTGAGCATACTTTATGACGAACACTCAGAGGAGCTTTCGTTCCCACAGATCTATCTCGGTGAGCCGCGCCGAGTAGATGCCAGCGCAAAACCGACAGTCTTCACACACGCCATGAGTGAGATCCGCAGATCAGACCGTCGAGGGGCCACCCCGCAGCACGTACTGTACATGGCCATGAAAGTGTTTAGGCACCGAGTAGCCGGTGACATGTGTGTGGCCTTCCGTAACATAAAGGCACTGGAAACACTAACGAAGCAACAGTTGCTCGACAAGGATTTTGTGCAGCAAGCGGTCGAGCACGACATGGCTTTCATGCATGGTATTCCCAACACCGTGCAGTACTGGACAAAACGCAAGAAAGACCTCTTTGCTATGATACGGCAGTTGGGTAAGCCGACCGCGTTCCTCACTCTTTCTGCCTCGGAAATGCACTGGCCCGACCTTTTGCAGTTGCTTCAACGCCTTCGGTTGAAGCCCGGCGAGATCGAAGTACCACTGGAGCAAATGAACAGCATTTATCGAGCACAGCTAGTAAATGACGATCCCGTGGTCTGTGCCATATATTTCGACCGATTGGTGCGTGTCATTCTCAACATTCTCCGCAACACCCGTGTATCGCCTTTTAGGCCGTACATAGTCGTCGACTACTTTAAGCGGATCGAATTTCAGCACCGCGGGTCGGCACACGCGCATATTCTCCTTTGGCTTCATAACGCGCCCAACGAGGAGCTCTCGATGCTCATGCCCCAGACTCTTGAAATAGCCAACGTTCTGCTTTCCATCGACAACGGATGCTTGAAGCGGGAGCGGACTCAGGTGCACCAACACACGCATACCTGCTACAAGCACAACACCACCAGATGCCGCTTTAACGCGCCTTTTATGCCCATCGATGAATGTATGGTCGTAGTGCCTTTCCCCACCGTGGACAATGAAGCGCAGAAGAAGAAAATCGAGAGCCTCCTAAACAAGTACGAGGCCATGCATCAGGCCCTGGAAACGACAAATTATGACTCCATGGAGCAGTTTTGGGAACATCACGGTGTCGCGGACAAGGCGGAGTACATTTCTGTTCTCCGAGCAGGCACTCCTCGTGCCACCATCATGCTACCCCGTACTGTGCAGCAAAAGTGGGTGAATTACTTTAACCCATGGGTTGCATCAATTCTCGATTCTAACATGGATCTTCAGATCGTCCTCGACACGTACGCGTGTGCTGCCTACGTCGTGGAATATGTAAACAAGGCAAACCGAGGTATGTCGAACCTCAATCGAGCAGTGCAAGAAATTGTCAAGGAGAAGGGGGATATGGCCTATTCTCAGGCACTGAGACATCTAGGTGTGAAAATGTTGAATGCCATTGAACTGTCCGCACAGGAGGCCGCATGGTGTTTGCTCAACCAGGATATGTCGGAGGCGAGTCGCAAAGTTGTCTTCGTGAACTCTGCATGGCCCGAGGAAAGGACGCGCATTCGGAAGTCTAACGCTCAGATGGCGCAGGAAGGCTTAGTAGAATCAAGCACTGATGTATGGAAACGGACGATGATCGAGCGCTACGAAGACCGCATTCCCGAATTGGAACCTGTTACTCTAGCAGAGTTCGCTACCGAGTACAACATATATACCTACAAAAAGAGGAATCAGCGACGGATACTTCGCTACCGCGGTTACTCCGTAGACGATTCAGTCAACTTCAAGCGAGAACATGTCCTGCTTTTCTATCCATTCCGCAAAGAAGTTGACATCTTAGACCAAAACTGTTTCGAGCGTCTGTATGACCAAAACATCGACGTCATTCTAGAGAACAAGGCACGGTACCACAGTGACGTAGACATTGAGCAAATTCGTGCCGTTTGTAATTCCATGCTCCAGTCAAATGACGGGGAACATCGTGCCACTTCTGAGCTCCCAGATGTGAGACTGCACCCGATGGCCATGGAAAACGACGACTCCGATCTCCTAGACATCGGTATGGTCCAATCCAATGCCCCGTTTAAGCAGTGCCCCGCCGTGTGCACGCGCCAAGACGTCATGAGCAGAGATCAATACCTGGACACAATGCGCAAGACGAATGAGGAGCAGTACGAGATCGTCCGAGAAGTCGTGCATAGACTCACTATACCGGACTCTCCGCCACTACAAATCTTCTTCACGGGAGTGGCTGGATGTGGGAAGACATTTGTACTGCGTCTCATCATGGACGTCTACAACAGATATTGCAACCCTGCTGGTTCAGATAATGTAAACGCCTATGTTGCCTGTGCTACAACTGGAAAAGCGGCGGTCGCGCTTGGTGGAATAACTGTACATGCAGCGTTCAGACTTACCATCAATAGGGATGGCGGACTCCGGGACAACGAGTTGAACACGTTCCGCTATGCGTTCAGGAACGTCAGGTGCGTGATTATCGATGAGGTTAGCATGATGTCCGCCGACATCCTTCAGAAAGTGGACTCGCGACTCCGCATCATCACTTGCAAATATCTAGAGCCTTTCGGCGGGTTAGACATCATCCTCTGCGGAGACCTGCGCCAGCTTCCCCCCGTTCGTGCCGCCGAGGTTTTCAAGCGCGTCAAGACGAACAGTGTGTTTAACACGGAAATCGCATGGCACCATTTGTCATACTTTGTCCTCACGAAGGTCGTAAGGCAAAGCGATCTCAGGTTTTCCACCATACTTACCAAATTGGAGACGGTGCAGAATTGGATTCCGAAGAAATCGCATTGATCCAGAGTCGGTTCGTCACGCAACAACAAGCAGAAACGTGTTGTCCCGGTGGCATCCGCTTGTACTACTCCAACAAGGAATCGGACTACTACAATACGAACACGGCCATTGCAACCGAAGATAATTGTGTGGCATGTCCGGCACGGGACACAATCGTTGGATTCAGGTCTATGCAGGAGAAGACAGAGGCAATGCGCAAGGCCGAAACGCTGCCCAAGGCCGAACTCGGAAACCTGCCAGCTAATATAATGCTATGCATTGGAAAACCATATATGCTCACACTCAATGTCGATGTTTCCGATGGTCTGGTCAATGGCTCTGTTGGAATACTGCAGTACATACAATACGATACGCTCCGAGAGCCGGAACGCATCTGGCTGCATTTCGGTGAGCTTGGTTCCAAAATTGCGATTGGAACCGTGGCGGCCGCAAAATCCCGGCAGTTACGGGCACTCGACAGAAATATTCAGCAAAATTGGACACCTATCGAAAGACGCACAGTCACTTGCGTCATTGATAAGAAGTCAAGGATATCCCTGAGGAGATGCCAGCTACCCGTTGTGCAAGCAAGTGCTATCACCATTCACAAATCACAGGGAGGCACGTATGAAAACGTGGTGTACTCGTATGCCAAAAGTCATCCACAGAAATTGGTATACGTGGCACTGAGTCGTGCTACAGACATCAACGGGCTCTACCTCACCAATGTGGACAATGACTTTACGTTCTACCACGGCAAGCCCAATCCCGACAGGGTACTACTTGATGAGTTTCGTCGACTGCAGTCACACAAACTCCAAACTGTCACTGCTAAGTGCTACGCAATGATTAAGCAACCGCACTTGTTCTCGGTCGCCGCACTTAATGTTCGCTCTCTGCCGGCGCATTCCAAGGACGTGCACCACGACCCCGTCCTACGCCATGCATCTGTACTTTGCCTCTCGGAAACGTGGATGGATCCAAAACAGGCGGTAGAAATCATGGACTACCAGTACTGCTGCGGCGTCAGTAGAGAGCACAACAGAGCGGCAGGGGTGGCCATCTACGTGCGTAAGGGTCTGTCTGCCGTACCCATCGAGATATTTGGAACGTCAGACGAAGTTGGAGAACTTTGTGGCGCCAAGTTCGACAACGGCTTGGTAGTGGTGGCTCTGTATATCTCGCCTACAGCACTCACCAAAGATATCGTGCATTTTCTGCGACTTGCGTTAAGCACACGTGGGTCCACACCCATGTTAGTAGTGGGGGACTTTAATGCAGACTTAAAGAAGGATAAGAACTTCATACCACTTATGCAGGAAAACCTCCCATTTCTCTCCCTCGTAACAGCTCACACCGCTGTGACGACCTCTCGAAACACGTGCATAGACCTCGTCTTTCAAAATCAGCCTTTGGTCCATCACCTGGAACACATATCCTGCCACTTCTCAGATCACAAGGCTTCCTTCATAACAATCAAGGACTGGGATAAGAGTGCTATTTAAAGCACCAGTATAGGAGGAGCTTGTTCTATATTTGTATATATTGTGGGGATTTTGGACGCCGAACTTTGGCGACGATATGCACTGCACGCTAGGAAGAAAGGAGGAGGAGAAGAACGAAAGCTGGGAAATTGTTCCCCCCGACGGTCTTGCGTACCTTGAGAGGTGTTAGGCGGGCCACTCGGAGGAGCATCTACCAGCTTCGTTATCAGTTGGAGCGTGCAAGTCGTACAAGACGAAGAGGAGGAGGAGGACGGTGAGGTTGAGGAGAAGGAGGAGAGGAGATGCCAGATACGTGTTGTGCAAGCAAGTGGTCTCATCAATCGTAAATCACATTGGAGCTTCCAGATCTGACAAGTATATTCCCTTTCTCCGTACAACCGGTGAGCAAAAATACCACAATATATTACATAGTTCAGTGCGGTATATCGCAAAATTGAGATACCTCAAAAGAGGAGGAGGAGCACAGGAGGAGGAGAAGGGGACGACGAGAGAGTACGGATGAGGAGGAGGGGCATACCCTCCCCTCCGTTCCCTCTCGCCCCCGCCCCCCCCCCCCCCCCCCCCCCCTTGCTTGGAGCACATTTGGAACTTAGGGAATGTCATAGCTCGGGGCCTCTTCCTTCCTTTGCTACTGGAACTACACACTCTAAGTATCTAGAGCTTGAATATTTTTCATTCGAATTTAACATGGCCGACAGCATTGTTAAGACGTTCGACGAAAACATTGTAAACGTCATTAACACAGTTCAGACCGGCTTCCCTACATTTATTATAGGTGTGTTCCAAGCATGTGACGACTTTCATGACCCTGTTTCATCATCAAGTATTGAAGTTCATCTTGCGTCAGATCTAAACAAATCACAACACCATGTTTGGGGTAAGTCCCTTATCAAGTTTAAGATGGTGTGCCTGCCTGTAGCTTCTCTAAAGTGTCTTTTTTTACGCTTGTTTCACTTATTATAAGTGTTTTCTGTTTTATATTATACTCGGCCGAGTGCCCATCTTCCAGTGTCCATCACACTTTTAGTCTGGTGATCACGTCACCTTGAAACCCTTGTAAGCTTAGAACTGAAAAGTTTTGCTGCTTACGCACAGCAGACAAAAAAAGGTAGGCAGCATTTTAACTTCCAACTGTCTAAGCGTGGATGTCAAGCATAAACCCTGGGAAGATTTGCCCACTGCTTAACTACATGCTTTTTTTTTTCATGTCCTGGTTGGCTGCTACACTGGAGAGGCTGCTGAACATCATGCCACGGCGGCTGATCATGGCGGTTTAGTTAAATTAATAATGGGGTTTTCATCCAGGACGTAAATTGGAAACTCGCGGAGCAAACTTTAAGGTACATTGGTATAACAATTGCGTACGTTGGCTTTGTACGTTATTAGCGTAAACCTTGGCCGGATATGCAACGCAGTTTCCAATATACACCACGGTTTTTCCCCAATCAATAAAATTTCAACCCTCCAAATTATTTGTCCTGACTCTATATTTCAGAGCACAGCTCTTACGCGACCCTTTCCGGCTTGAGCGGCAAGGAGGAAAGCAGTACGAAGGTGGATGACGGGGGGAGGAGAGACGAGGAGGCGGAGGCGAGGGGAGGGGAGGACCTTAAGGACGAGGAGGTGGTAAAGGAGAGGGAGGGGGAGCAGGAGGGGAGGAGGACCAGCAGGCATGATCACGAGGGAGGAGGAGGAATATACCCTCCACTCCTCCTCCTCAAGAGCTGCGCTCCAATTCGGCGTTACAGGAAGTTGTAAACGGCTTTCACTTTTTTAAGAACATACATGTTCTTAAAAAAAAGCTATTCTCCTAGGATAAAATGAAAACAAAGTTAAATTGACAAATACAAAATAAAAAAGGCGCTGCGGAAAATAGCTCTTTCCCTCTTAAGAAAGTGCCTTTCACGCATGAATAGAGGGTTGAAGTGGGAAAATGTGAGTGGCCGAGAATAGCCGCCTACCTCGCCGGAAAAGAATAAGTCTCGTATCCACTCAAGTTTCAATATGATAGCAACCTTCTATGATTCGGTAGCCAACGTTTAGGTGGACAAAAAATTTACCGGGTAGTAATTATATTTCTGGTGAATTTAGAGCGGCGTCAAAACTATTTCAAAAGCGATAGTAAATTATGCAAAAAGAATTGTATTACTCCAAAATTTAGTAAAGGGAAATTCAATGAAACGGCGTCAAGTGATTTAATGAAACGGCGTTCGATGAAATGTCCTGTACCCAGTTTGTCGAACCGAAATGTTTTTCGTTCCGCTTTTCGTTCCGGTTCAGGGAGAACGGTTCAGCTCCGGTTCAACTCCGGAGTGAAAAAATAAAGGTTCAAGCCGGTTCGAACCTGTTCGTACTCATATGCTTCAAAAACAGTTGACGAGCAAAAGATAAACTATGCATATTGTATAAAAGTGTTACAAATAGAAAGCAAAGGCTCACATTACTGTGTGGAACGAATGAGCTAGTGCTGGGGCACCTCGGGACGTGGGTAAAAGCGCTGTTCAATGTCAGGCAGTTGACCGAAGAAGCATATCCGGGGAAAGACGGCCCCTCTGAGACGATAGAATGAACTTCAGTCCAGAAAAGGCTCGCTGCGCGCTGACCTGGGTCGCAGGCACTCCCAGGGCTCTTGCGCCAATGGGTAGAGTTCTGGATGGCGTCCCCTTCTTTCCTTCCAAAACTGTAACACGTTAGCGTCCCTTCGAAGCCGCGGCTCCTTGTCTAGCAATGCTCAGAAGAGCTGTGCGCCTTGATGTTTGTGTTTCTGAGGAGAAAATGTTTTGGTCCTTGCTGTTTCTGCTACCAGAGATCGAAGCTTTTTTGCTGTTTTCTGTAACTGTAACTGTTGATTAAATCCCCTCTCCCCTTCCCGGTGCTAGACTTTAATTTCGGACTGATTATTAAATCCGCTGAGTTAATTGGAGAGCAGATTAGATGCGCCACAGTATGGCAACTAGTGCAGGTTCTAAAATATCCATCGGCCTTTGTATCACTTTCTTATCCGATCAGTTGTACAATGAAATCAAGGCGTCTAAAGTAAATTGAACTCAACTCTACAAAATTAGAGACAAGAAACACGTAAAAAAGTTAAACTAAGCCCGAAAAAAAAAACACAAGGACAGAAAGAGGTATAGACAACACTAGGGGTGTTGTCTATACCTCTCTTTGTCCTTTTTTTTTTTTTTGTTCAGTCCGTGATGAAAAACCACCTAGCCCAACTTACCGTTTTGCCACCAAACAGGCTCATTATGGTCACTTTTGCTAATGTACAAATTGTGTATGTTCTAGTGTTAAATGTTCTTTGAGGAGGCATTTCCGGTCACCAAGAAAAGGTTGGGACGAATGTGAACTTTTGTTAAAGAAATACATAAGACCAGAAATCCCGGAGAATTTATAGTTACTCTGCTCATTTCGTTTGAGTTCTCGAAACAAACTATAAATTATGAAGACGACCGTTATCTGACAACCTGATAATGGAACGTTACAGAGCTTTCCGCTACCTATTTTCTTCGCTTTTTGACTTTCCACATGAACGGAGTACCACAAAAATAATTGATCAGTTTTGCCCAGGAACGAAAAAAGAATTATTTCGGTTCAGCTCAACTCCAGTTTGCGCAAAAATATTTTTTTTTGTCTTTCATTCTTTGGTTTACTTTTAAGGTTACTGTGTTTTTCGCCACACACTTTTCACGCAATCTGACTTTGCGTATGAACCGAAAACCGCATGGAAAAATATCGGTTCCGCTCCGGAGCGAGAAAAATTATTTCGTTCCGGGTCAACTCCGGTTCTTGCAAAAATAATGTTTTTTTTCGGTTCACGGTTCAGGTTGGGTTCAATACCCTGCCTGTACCCCATTGCCCCACGTTGTTAATGAGGACAGAGGGAATCGTTTTCGGGAGAATTGATATGACTAGTTGATAAGACTGCTGATCAGCTGCAAGTGCCAGGTGTCTGGCACTCATGGTGCCATTCCAGTCATAGTCATATGAACACCCTGAGAAGGCTGTGTAAATGTGCCCTGTGGACCAGTTGCTACACTAGTTTGTTGGGATTATAAAGAAATGAGTGCTGGACAGGGCCCCAATTACTGCCTAAAAATCTTTCTAGCATGTTTTCATTAGGTCCACGTTAGGCTTCAGCTAGCTAGAGAGTTTGTTTTGCTAGCAGGCAGCTTTTTATGCTTCAGTCTAAAGAAGTTGAAAGAGGCCTAGAAGGAGAGTGAGAATCAGACACATGGCATGGTTTTCTGTGGGACTGCCACATCAGGTTGTTGGCCGAACGTGTTGCGAGTGCTCAGCCATCAAAACATTCTTGAGCAGGCGCATCACTCCTTGTGGGTAGGTCACACTTTGCGGAAAAGGTCTAAACTGGATGAAAAGAATGGCTTGTGCATGCAAAGAAACTGAGGCGAAACTGTGTTAGGACAGAGGTAGGCATTTTTTTTTATCTTGATGACACTCTCTGCACTGAAATAGGCACCCATTATCTGAACGCAACCAACTTTTTTGTTATATTTTTTTGCAGGAGCAGCGTGCCTCTTCCCAGGAGTGACTGAGGGGCTGCCACAAGGGGAGAAGGCAAGCATGTTTCTGATTACAAGAATGGACAGTTGGGCTGGGCTAGTTGGTAAGAATTGATGTTGAAAAACGGTGCAAAAACCAGACAAAGAGAAAAGAACCCACAGCGCCTTGTCCTGTGTGTTCTCTTATCCGTGCATTTTGCACTGTTTTTCAGCATGTTTCTGCCTTGATTTTTCTGTTATAGTTTTAAATGTCTGTAGTTGGTTACTTTGATCCCTGTTGGAAGCATGGAATTGGTTAACCGTCTTAAATGCATGGAGTTGAAAAAAAAATTCACGTTACCTAAATCATTTAAAAGCTTTTTTTTCTGCTGCTTGCTGCTTGCTTTATGTTGCTGGGAATTTTAATATTTTGCATTTTTATTTCCATGCAGATCAGCCTTGTAATTTAGCGTGTTCTTGACAATTTTGTAGATCTAA